CTATTAAAATATGAAGAAATATTGATTGATTATTATTATTTAATGATGTTTGAAGATCAATAAGTTTTAATCGATTTCGTTCATATTCAGTTATTAAACTTCGTGCAAGACCAATAAATGGTGATGCAATTAAATTAAGATTCGAATCATTATTAAATTGAGCATGATCTGTAAGAACATACACAAATGGATAAAATTGTAGGGATGGTTTTTGAATTATTTGAAAAATATGTGAAAATGTTCCATGTAGAAGTTCTTCATTTTGTTCAAATGCTAAATCATCATCACTTTCATAAAGTAAGGTTTGATCAAGTTGTCATGCAAATATAATTGATATTTGTTTCTAAGTAGTTAATAGAACTGATATTACAGAACAAATCATATCTAAAGTTGAATTATGAATATCAAAAATTCTAATATTTGAACATGGTAACAATGATGATAGAATATGACCAAAACTATTATTATCATCTTTAGTAAATATTAACCATGTTTGATTTATTCGTTCATCAAGTGTTTGTAATATATCATTTGATATTGTTTTTTGACTAATAATAAATGTATTTTCATTTTGATTTATTGTTGATTCAATAGAATTAAATTCTTGGATTTGTTCTAATAATGTTGTCTATTTTTTAATATTATTTAATACACGATTATTATCGTCAGATGACCACCATTGATCAATAAAACAAAAAATAAGATCAAAATAAAGAGGAACATGAACTAATGCAAGTAATAAAAGAAGACCATTGGGAACAAGTAAACGACGAAGAGCAATTAAAGAATGTTTTTTTGTTAAATCTTGATTTCCTAGCAGTTCATTTGCAGAAAATATAATATCAAATGATTCTATTGGTATTTTTTCAAATGTTTTACTATCATATAAATCAATTGTTTCATCATAAATAATAGATAAATTTTTTGTTTGATTAGTTAGATGTGTATTAAATGTTTGTTGAGCATTTGCAAGTTGTATTGGATTAGAATCTGCATAATGTAAACCAATTAATAAACCTGTTTGTTGTGATAAATTGAGGAGAAGATCAAGAATAGGTAAAACATCTGAGCAATCACTATCAGTTAACCAAAATATACGTAATCGATAATTCTGAAATGAATTATCTTTAGTTTGTTGTTGTTGTTCATATTGTAATTGTAAATATTGGCAAATCGAATGAAAAACTTGTTGTGTTTTAGTTGCACTTAGAAGAGTTTTAACTTGTTGAAAAGTTTCTCCAATTTCCTTATCACTAAAAAATATATCTAATCCAGTTTTTTCTCCACTAAGAATATCTTTTAAATGTGAACCATATTTGTTTAATACTATTAAAAATGGTTTTAAACGAGGAAAACGTTCAATTAATTGAATAAGACGAAGTTGTGTTGAATGCCATGGTACTTGTTCCGAATGTAAAGTTGAAGCAAGAGAACGACATGCATTTAATAATGGATGATATATATGATTTAAATCAAGATCTTTAATTGCCATTTGAGCATAATAAGCAGCTAATTCATTAAATGGTTCTATTGATTCAATTAAATCTTGATTACTAATAGAATTAAGTTGATTATTAAGAATTTGATTAGGTGATGGAAGTAAATGTGATATATCTTTTGTTATTGGTGAATCAGTCCATACTCTTTTCATACAATAATCTTTTACAATGGTATTTAAATATGTTTTATGATCAGTATTAGGTGAATCTGTTGTTAGATTTAGTTTATCATGAATTTTTTTTCCATTGACCATCGACCAGAATGTACACCTTGAACTTGTTGAATAACAGCACCTTCAAATGTAAATATTGGTTCTTCGATTTTATTATCCATTGGAAATGTCCATAAATCAAAACTATATATTCCTTCTTGACCTATGCCACATATATTATCATGATACTTTCCACGTACTTCAACGTTTGTTGATTGATTCATTTTTGTTTTTGTTTTACTTGAATAAATAAATTTTTGAATACGTACTGGAAGAAATGTTGTTTCAATACCTGGTAATAAAACTAGATATGGATGCAGTAAATAATAAGATGAACGATTATTAGTATCATTTGATAATTGAGATATAATTATAGTTGAAGTACCATGTAATGTTTTTAGTTTTTCAAAACTAGATCCATATTGATAACCGCATGTTGAAAGATGTTCATAAGCACTTGTTATATGTTGTGCTGTCCATATATTAGATTGTTAATGATTTTTGTTGTTTAGAATCTATTTCAATTTTAGCTCATGCATGTAAAGTAAATTCATTTAATGAGTATTCATTAAGATTATGTTGATTACAAAATATAATATACCATTTACGCATTGGCATAATTATTTGTGTAAATACTTCCATCAATTCATGTTCATTAAGAATAAGTGCTTTAACAAATTTAACATCTTCAAAAATAATTGTTGGTTGTTATTCATAATCTTTTCATGAAAGTAATTGATGACAAGCAGCTGTTGCAAGTTCAAGATAAGCAACTGCTGGAAAAAGAATTGCATCTTGAATTTTATGATCTTTTAAGAAAGTATGTTGTGGTAAATTAATATTAATAAGACTTTTCTATGTTGCACTTGTTTGTTTATTTAATTGACGAATATCAAGTAATGGATGAGTAGATATACGATTAGCTAAACGTTGTATCGATGAATCTTTTGATTTATACCAACATAGACTCAAATAAAATTTATATAATGAAAAATGATCAAAATAGTCTTCACGATATTTCATAGGTAAAATTTGACGAGTCTGAAAATATTGTTGCCATACTTGAGATGATATTGTAAGTTGTGCTAAACTAGTAAGTAATGTTATTTGTTCATTTTCTTTTCTTTTTAATGTTGGAAGAATAAGTGGTAATGATTGTTGTTGATTTGTTAATTCATAACATTTACGAATAGATGTTGCTAAAACTGGATGTGGTGAAATTTTAATAAAAACATTGGTTGCTTCATCTTTTATAATTGCTGCTATAGCATCATAAAATCGAACAGCTTGTCTCACATTTGACCACCAATATTGACCATCAACTGGTATACTACCATTCATTTTCTCACCAATAACACTTGAATAAAGTTTTGCTTGTGCACATATTGGCTCAAAAATTTGTTTTTGATCTTGTATTGGAAGTCCTCGAATATCTTTCAAGGATGAAAGCATTTCTTTTTCAATATCAAATCGATTCATTTGATATGAATGAAATGCATTTTCAATACGAACGCATGCTTTAAATACATTTGGATAAGATATGGAAAGAATTTGTTGTATTTCATCAATTGTTTTTTCATCACCACTTATTGATACTGAACGAGGACTATTAACAACAGCAATACAAGCCAAATGTTCAATACCTTTCAAAAGTTTATTTTCTACTTCTTCTTCACTCATTGAAACAGCTAACATATGAACAGTTTTTCCTAAAGTTAATCGACCAGCAACAAAAGCAGCTGCTTGATCACCAGCACTATGTGATATTATAGATGATGGATAAATATTCCATGAAACAAGTAAAGCTGTTAATGCAACTTGTATAGCAAATAATGTTGGTTGAGCAATATTTGTATCATTAATACGAGATTCTCGTTCATTTTTCTTTTCAATTAATTCTTCCAATAATCTCCATTCACCATTATTAGTTTTTGTCATTTCCGCATCAGTTAAATGAATCTATTTATTAAACAAAGGTTCACTTTCATATGATTGTCTATCCATACACCACCATGGTGGACCTTGTCCACTAAAAACAAAACATATTTTCTGTGCTAATGGTTTTGTTGGACGTGATATGATTGAAAGGCCTGGTAATGGTTGTTCATTAAGAAAAGCATTGATTTGTTCTTATAATTGTTGACGATTAAGAAGAACAAAGATTGCTGTATGTTGATAACTAATAGTTCTTTTCAGAAGAAGTTGTTGAGATATACGTTGAAGAAAAGCTTGATCATCATTATGATCTATATCATTAATTGATCGTTAAGATATTGACGACTCTTTGCTGAATATGAAGAAATAAATTATTTAACAAATGAAAAGAAAAAAGAACTTACTTGAAAAAATAAAAGTGAAATATTGTTTACTTTTATTGTGATATCCATTGATATGACCATTTGTAATTGATGTTTTTTTATTTGGTTGATATTCTTCAATAATAGCATGTGTTGTTGTGCCACCCATTCCAAATGAATTAATACCTATAGCTATTTTTTCATTATTTAGAAATATTGGAAATGATACAAAATTTTGAACAATATGTAGATTATATTTTTGTGCTTCTATTTTTGGATTAAGTGAAGTAAATTGCATATTTGCTGTAATACCACGACGATACATACACATAGCAACTTTAATAAGTGATGCTACACCAGCTGCACCTTCTGTATGTCCTAAATTACTTTTAATTAAATCTAATAATAATGGTATATCAAGATTTGATTGATTAGAAAGTCGACCTAAGTAATTGGCTTTAATTGGATCGCCCTCACGTTCAGCATCACTTAATTGTTTTAATAGTAAAAGACCAAGATCATCACCTAGAAAATTTAAATTTAAATTTATTTTTAAATAAAAAAAACTAATCAATTGACTTTTTACCTTTAGCATAACCATTAGCATTAGAACTAAATGATCGACACTACATACAGCCATATCAGCTTCATCTCTACGAGGACACTGTACAGCCATATGTAAAGCATCTAAAGATGATGAACAAGCAACATCTAATGATACATTTGGACCATGTATATTAAAATAATATGATAAACGTGCTGATGCATTGTATAATAAACTATTAGGTCCATGGAATCTTGATCGATGTTCAGGTCTCATACGAGTTGTTGCAACTGCATGATCTGTTGAAAATTGTCCAATATGTACTGATGTTTTTGTACCATTCATTTTTTCAACGCCATATCCAGCATCATCTAATGAATGAACAAATTTTAACATAAGTAATCGATAATGCGGATCAACACTGTCTGCTTCAGTATCTGATAAACCAAAAAAACTTGCTTCAGACATATTCTATTGTTGATTTGACATAAAAATAAGCAGCGCAAACAAGTTTTTGAAGAAGTTGTCCATTAATTTCGTAAATGATAGGTGCCTGAAACAGATAATATACTACTGTATTATTTAGATGAATGAAAAAGTGTATAAGACAATACGAAGAATAAATTTTTTTTTTCATATATGGACTGTTTAAACTAACCACAGCTTGTATGAGTGATATTAACATACGATTAAAAAGTATGACAACGACATATCTCTGCTTCATTATATGAAAAGAAAAGCACATGTAGATGTACAAAAAAGGTGTATTGGAGAAAAAACAGTATAGGATGAATATGAATTAAGAATATCGATAGAAAAGTATTTAAGATAAATTAAATTGTGTTATTTACATTAATTTAAATAGTTATATCATTCCAGTATTAACTGATAATATTGTCCAGCTTATACTATGTTTTTTTTTGACGATAAAATATGTAATTATTTATTTAAAAATGCGTAGTTTTACTGAAGAAAAAATGTTTCTTTTGGGTATGGAATGTCTATTCTATTCCGTTAAAAATCAATTTATAGTATCAGTTAATATGAAAACAATTAGTGTAAAAGTAATACTTAATTTGATTATAGAGTATATCGTATAGTTTTTCAATTAAGATACTTAAGTTATGATTGTTTTGCGAGATTTTATAAATTTTTCGAGTTAAAATTTGTTTTGATCATATTATATGGTGAACGTAGGATCAAATGCCTTTGTAATCCTGTTAAAATCGATTTTATATACAAGATCATTATAAATTTTGATATTCAAACGATTTATCGTTATTATAAAGTAATAAACGTATATATCCTACCAATCTCATATGTAATATAACAAAACAAAATATGTTTGAATTATTATATAATCGTAAGAATTGACTTTTAACTTACAAATATAGCACATTGAATTTGAACTTTTTCATATATATATATAAATATATTTGTTAAGTATCACCTAGGTCAACAAATTTCTTTATTGCACATTGATGAATATTTCTTTTCGTTATTGTTCATTGACAATGAATATAAATCAAAGAGACAAAGGAGTGATAGTATGAAAGAAAAAAAGAAATAAAATACAGTAGGATAGGTGAATAATGAAAGCAAGATACAAACGGAAGAATATCGTTCATCGAACATTATTTTATCTTTTCATATACATTATATCTTTGCAATTATATTCAAAGGATAAACTACACGAACAAAAGGGCAACGATAAATAAGAAAAAAAAATGTACCCGATAATACAGAAAAATAAAGAAAGGGCAGTGTTTGTGTCGTTGTATTATTGACCAGAAAGAAAAGAATATAACAAGTATTACCTTGTAGAATATCATATCAATACATCAAGTACATCTTTTTTTTGTTATTTTCACATTAAACAATACACGGCTTGTATCATTGAAGGATCGAAATATAAATAAATATTTAACTATTTCATATTATAGTATAATTAGTTTAAAATAAAATTTGTATCGATGTTAAACTATAATCGAAGTATAATAAGAAAAAATATTTATTTTAATTATAAATATAATCTACAACTGATTTTTCTATCACAGTAGAAAAACATAGTTCTTTTTTAACTATAATAGTAGTTTTCCGGTTAGAATTCTTCTACAAATAAAATAGAATAAAGAGAAAAAAATTGACTTCAATTATAAAGGTAAATAAAATAGGATTATTGTATTACTGTGGAAAAAAACAACTAGAATTGAATTATTATTTAAACTAGTGTATTTTATATAAGAATTGTTAGTTGTGTAATAGATTAAAATAATATTTTATTCACTTGAGGGTACGTGTGGGCCTTAGTCAATTATATGGTATCATCCACATTTCGCATATCTACACTCACATCCTGAAATTCTCTTTTAATCAATGAAATTCTTGATAAAATAAGTGATTCGGAAGTCGAATTTGAATTTATTTCTACTAATAGTTCAATATCATATAAAAACTGTTATCCAGTTCGATCATCTTAAAATTGAATATTCACATTTTTTAAACGAGAATAATTAAACATATATTTTCTATTGAAAATATCCCAATATAAAGTAAAATGTTAAATAAAAAGAGTTTTTTCTTTTGAAATATTAAAATAATCAAATTCTTCTTTACCTTATTTTATATTTATATCAGTTTGAAATGAAATGTTTTTTTTATAAGAATAAAGTTAATTTTCTCTTTCGCTATTCGAAAATCAGAATATAAATATTTTATGTTTGACAATTGTCAATCAAGTTCTTATGATAATATTAGAACACGATTCGATACGTAAAGTCGTTTCATTTCGATATTTAAGAGACGTTCCATGAAAAAATCGAACATTGCGAAAACACGTAGGTCAACGGATTCCGGATCTGACCTGATATAAACTTAGGCACTATTGACCCATATATGAATCCAAAATATTACGGTCTAAAGATTTACTTTAAGAGAGTTAGGGTATGTCATACCATATTACCCTAAAAAATGACCTAAAAAATGAGCAAAATTGAGTTTTTTTGTTTTTTGAATTTTTTTCATATAATTTCTCCTCTAATCAAATTGAGTCATATACCAATCGATAGAGCTTGACTTGCTCTACAAAACTGCTTATATGGCATTTTCCATTTATTTAAAAATATAAGAGAAAAAGTCCAAATACACTATTTTTTTCATCTTAAAAAATCCATTAATTTTCGGTATTTTGCCCAAAAGACCTAGTGAGAAATCGATTGCCAAAAAAAGTTATACATCATTTTGTAGCCCATTTGATTCTGCATCGATTCATATATTGGGCTCTTCTTCAGAGTGTTCAACTCGTGCAAAAGGTGAGCTCGAAAATTCATGAATAACACCATTTTTTGCCTATTTTTCGAAAAAGTCACTCCTATGTCACATATATATTTATAATTTTTTTCTCTAAATTTTTTCACTTTTCAAATTAAGTCATATACCAATCGATAGAGCTTCAC